CTCAGACTTCTGGAAGTTTGAACAGTTCTCCTTTTCCTGAACTGATAATCACCTGTGCTCAAGAGGCTGGGCGGGTTTCGCGTGGTCACCTGTTGCCTACCTATTACTGCTAAGAACAAGCAAAATCGTTCCCAGGCAGCATGCACAAGAAAAAAAAGGAAAAAAATAAAAATGTACCTCATAATGATTATTAAAGTTCCATTCTTTCATTTGCAAGAACTCACATTTTAAAGAAAGAAGAAATGAGTATCAGGAGATAAGGAACCATTATTGAGCCCTCTGCCTTGGTTTCAATTACACTGTGAAATTAATTTAAGGCACTTTAAGAATACAAGAGGTATTCGCTCTTTTTGGCAAGAGGTTGCAATTTCCTCTAATAAAGTGTCAATATAAATATGTTGCTTTAAGACAGGAAGAACAAGTCAGTTAATACAGAAAGAACGGGACATATTAAAACAAGTGCTATCAAGGAAACCAAATGGCAAAACTAATAAATAAACTGGCTGAATGACAATTGTATGGCAGAGAGCTGGTAAATCGAAGTTTAATTAGAAACTTATTTTTAAAGAGTGTTTTATGCTAATAATATGCATCAAAGTGATTAATGCTGTGAAAGACAACATTACGCCAGTAAATTAAAAAAGAGGTAGCCTATGTGAGAAGACACATTTATGGCTGGAAGATGTAAGAAATATGAGACCAATGAACCTGAAAATAAATACATACATAGATACAAAAGGTTAATAATTCTTGTGGATTTAAAACATGCTGGCAAAATGTGAAATGGCTACACAGACTGGACAAACGCAGAGAGCTTTCTGATGGATTGCCAAATGTCACCACAGCAAAGGCTGACAGCGAGTCCCTGCCACTGGCCCTTTCCACTGGCATGAACCAACTCATACTGAGGCACTGGATGGAAGGAAATGAGCTCCACAGCTGTGCTTGCCCAGCTGGGTGTCTGCTAGCTCAGCTTTGGAGGAGGCACTACTGGTGTCATGACCTAGTGCTCCGAAATGCTGCCACCTCCTCACCATTTAATAAGCCAATACACAATGGTTTGAGAGATCTGTCTTGCAACCACAGAATAAAGTTCATCTCAACAGGAGGAGCGTGCAGAAAAGCACACAGAAGAGTGCACCACCGGGAGAGAAGGGAAGCAGCTCCTGCACGGAGCTGAACTGAAAACAGGTCGATCTGAACAGCCTATTTCTTGCTAAAAGGAGAGGAGAAAAAATTGGGAAATCTCCAAAACTGTCTTTAATGGACTAAAACACTTTTTTAAAGAGCTTTCACTTTCATCGTCTTGGTTTTGAGGCAATGGGACATACAAAGCAAATTGCCTCCCAGTCTGCCGAAGCAGCGACAGGGGAACAGCCTCATGCATCTCTCAAGTAATTAAAGCTACTCAGCTTCTGAACAGGTGCCTTGCAGCAACACCCAAGATGTGTTATAATCCCCCAGTAACACACTGCCTAACACATTTTATTGCCTAATTACTCCCACACTCACGTTTAGCGCCCTTGTTAATCCAATGCTTCAAGAGAATACTTGTCTTACTTAAATATGTCTTGATCCTAATTTTCCTGTTATTGGTGTAAATCAGAACTCATCTCACTAACATTAATGGAGCTACTGCAGTGTCAAATGTCTAGGAATGGAAAAATCAGGCCTATATCCCAAAATGAACATTCAGTCTGGCACAAGTAGCATGTTCTTATTTTCTTGCGTCAAAACAAAATATGCTTTTTCTCTGGTACTGACTCAAAGCAGAGCTTTTAAGCTGTCAATGCTGAGATTAGCCCTGACTCCAAACAATATCTTTTTTCCTAACTCTTACCGAAGACACCACAGCAGTATCTTTGCTAGCAGCTCTGATGATTCTGTTCAAGGCAGGCTACAGGTTTGCTCACTCTATCCTCAGGAAGACAACAATGCACATAAAGGCAAATACAGGACAATGCCATTAAAGATAATCAATATAATGAGCAGACAGAAGACAGCACAGACATGGCAGGTCATCCAGAGCATCACAGCTATCGGCCTTTGATCAGGTCACATTGTAATTATTGTTTCGTGAGTGTCTGTCCATTGCCGCACGGCACACAGTGGGCGGGTACGACTCTTCAGGGGCTGGGATGTGGAGTGTCCCAGTCCTGCTACTCATGGAGTTAATGCACGGCGGGAATTCAGCCTCACGACACGTGGAAATCTGAACTATGGGAAAGCTCCAGGTCACAGGACTAGACTGTTCAGTTACTGCTCAGCTGCTCATACCGCGCAGGTACCAGCAATGCAATGGGAGATACCGTTACATTATCGAGACTACAAATTCGCTTGTGATGCTACCTTGCTCGTGAGCTGCCAGCAATACTGTACCTTTGAAGAGCTAAAACTGCATAAAACTAGCCACAGCCGTGCATATTCCAGTGTCCTTGCTAACGGTGAGGCACTGAGAAATACAACATTGCAATTCACTGAGTGAGGACAAGAGAAAAATAGAAGGGGAAAAAAAACATTCCAGAGGTTTCCACGCTTCACATATAGAAATAAGCTACCTGCCTATAAACCGAAAGTGATGTCCATTGAGACAGTGAGAACGAGTACTAGAACTAGTGGTCCTGCTCTGGCTGGGGGGTTGGACTACGTGATCTTTCGAGGTCTCTTCCAACCCCTGACATTATGTGATTCTGTGTAACTACTGTCATTTCTTGTCCTTTTCCATTCATGTCAAGCAAGAAAAATCCTAAAGAATATCAGCAAAAAGCAGTGGCTCGAGGCACCCTCAGGCTCTGCCCATCTCTTTTACATCTCTTATCATGTTAATATTAGTAAGAGATCCTTTTTTAAAAAGAGATGACATTCAGAAACAACAGAATGAGGGTAGCTTATTGACTCTCCCTGGTGACCTAAGAGGTTAATGAAAATTACATCAGTTTGCAGAAGTCAACTCAAGGTCAAACACTTATGTGGCACTTTTCTGAAGTACCAAATCAAACAGTGCAAACCAAAAGGTCATGCAAAAATGGGACTTTTCAAGCTATGTAGGTTTTTATTTTTCTTTGAATAGTTGCAGAGCAAATATCTTTCCTGCTAGCATGACAACATCCTTGCACCAAGTCCAGACAAAGGAATGACTGAAACAGAACTACAGGTTTCCAAAATGAATTAATTCAGTTTCTCTGATCTCATAAAGAGACCTCTAGTCATGCTCTGGGAAAACCCTGGGGAGACTCATTTCACCCAGACTCATCTTACCCAGTCGCTCTTTCTCTTTCTACCACCAGAAAGCCAAAATAAGGTATTTGAAATGTAGATTTGAAATCACTACCAGCTGGAAAAAACGAGGGAGAAGGAGGGGAGACTGAGACACACGGAATGTTTATAACCCAGAGAAACAAATTAAATAAAGATTTTATGAGGAACTTTAAAACTTTTTTACTTCAAAAAGGAAAGCAACAAGAGGATATGGGGAGCACCACAGCCACAGATGAAAACAAGAAAGGGGACAAATGGCTCATCCTCCTTGGCTTTCAGTGGTGACACAACCGCTTACAGCCCCACCAGTTCATTTATCAGGTCTCAGCAGTGAAAATAGCTGCACAGCTGGGAACTTCATACAGCACCTGCCATCCCAGCACATGGCTTTCTGTAACAGACTGGGGGATGTCTCCGCATGAAGATGAGAAAGTCCTCCTCTTCTACTCAACAACTGTTAGCTGGGCCTTCCTTAAACCCAACTCCTCCGTAAGTGCAGATGCAGAAGTGACTGGAAAAAGGACCTATAAGTAATTAACTTCTGTTACTGCCACAAGACAGAAAGGATTGAAAAGAATGGAGAAAATAGGATGGTGCCTCAAAGAAAAAAAAAAAGCCATGGGTTCCTGCCGATTTTGTTTTGGAAAGTCTCCACAGGCAGTAATGCAGTTATTTCACCTTACAGCAAAGCAGTAAGAACAGGAGATCGGAACCCTAAGTTTTGGAAATGGAGAGCTACCTATAGCACGGCCCATGGCGATCACCCTGGCAGCTCAATTTGAGACTATGACATGTGTTGAGGAAGCCTTTTTACAGCTACTCCTCTGTGTTCCAAGTAAATTGGTTTCTGACACCTCTGTGGCAAAGTAGCCCTTGGGGTGATTTTGAAGTCCTTACAAGAGCTGTTAAAAGCAACCCTAAACGCCAAGAAGGAACCCAGACATTGTCATCATGGGTCCCGCAAGAGCTACACCTGGTAAAGCAACCTGAGGATCAAAGCACTGCATCTTAATAATGTTTGTCTCGGGTTTGCTCTGTCTCGTCTATTCGACCTATCAGTTTGGTCTATTCTGAGCTGACTGCAATGAAAATAAGGAATGTACTCCACTAGTTTTTGAATTATACCATGAAAATGGTGTGATATAAGAATTGTGCCCCGCTGTGTTCGCGGTTAGGTTTACGCAAGGTCTCCTCTTACTTATCTACTTTATACAGTTGCGGAAAGAATGAATTTAATAGGAAGTTAATGTCACTTTCTAAATGCCGTTCTTGCAATAGCAAGAACAATCCTCAGGAGAGGAAAGCTGTCAACAGCATAAGGGAAAGGAGGAACCACAAAGACAGCAAAGGATATCATGTGTTAAAAAAAAAAAAAACAAAACAAACCCAAAGTCCAGACACATAGCGGAGCCGTTCTGGAAATTGTTGTTCTGCCTTTGTAATCTTCGTTAATATATAAATAAAAGAAAAAAGAGAAGGAAGAAAGAAAAGAAAGAAAAGAAAGAAAAGAAAGAAAGAAAAGAAAGAAAGAAAAGAAAGAAAGAAAAGAAAGAAAGAAAAGAAAGAAAGAAAAGAAAGAAAGAAAAGAAAGAAAGAAAAGAAAGAAAGAAAAGAAAGAAAGAAAAGAAAGAAAGAAAAGAAAGACGCTTGTTCTTTGAATAGTAACTGTAACCAAGTTGTGTCACCACTGCAGCTTTTACATTACTGGCACTGTGCTTTGCAGGAAAGAGAGACCCACATACCTTTTGTTGCCAGCCGGACACAGTTGATTTTTGTTTCCTGAAAAATAAAAAAAAAAAAATATACAGGAAAACATCAAGGTGTGTAATTTGCCCATCTACAGTAAACATACATTGCTTTCAAAAGGTACTAAAATAAGTAAGCATTTTTTTACATTCGTCTCTAAAAATACCACCAACATTTTCAGTTGCAGAAAACACTTCATACTAATGGACCTGCCTACAGCTGCTTCTCTAACTGTTGAAAAGTTAAGAGTGACAACATGTTTTTCCACACTTGATGTGTGAGTGATGGGTCCCGTGTAACTGCCTGATTAACTAATAGAATTTACCAGTTAAATGACTGGATCTGTAATAGGCAGACAAGCCTTGGGTCAAAAGTACATGCAACTGTACATCTAATTTTCATGCACCATTACTGCAAATTTTGCAAATTGGGTATTTATTTAAACACATGGCAAACAGACACTGAAGCAGTCATTTGAATATTTCAGCGCTCTGATATGTATGTGAGGCAAACCAGCAGGCTGTATGGCTAGCTCTGCCAAACGAGCTATTCCAGCACAACCCACACCACTGCAGTTCTTCACTGCAGAGCTGGGATAAAACCCAACGCTTTTTGTTCAGCCCACCTGGGAGCCTGCAGAGCTGCGTAACCCGGGGTTTGGATCGGAACAGTGATGTTGTATTTGGCTTAACAGCTCAAACTTGGCAGCCTTCTCAGGCCACCTCCACTGAAAACACATTCTTCCTGGTATCCCCAGCTCCTCATTCTACAGCCCTCACTGGCGTGGGTTGCTTCTGTCCGATGCACGATTGCCGTCCAAATGTTAATCTGCTGCTTCGGTTCAAAAGCTGACTTTGTCAGGCAGTAATCTGCTGCAGGGTTTTCGTAGCACTTTATGTCTTTACACGGTCTTGTACATGTCTCAGGTGTAACGAATACTGCATAAATTACTGTGTGTAACAACGCTACGTTAATACAGATGCTGTCTGTGCTCTGGAAACAACAGCCTAGGAAATGCACTGCTGAGCACCTCATTCCATCCTCAGGCAAAAAGAGGAACACTGAAAGTCTGAATTTGCCTTGGAAAGGTCCCATTGTGCCTTTCTCCTCACACTCACATTGCGTAGGAAGCGGAAAATAGCAAGATCCACATTGTGCCTTTCTCCTCACACTCACATTGCGCGTAGGAAGCGGAAAATAGCAAGATCCGCACTGGGAAACGCAAGAGCGATTCCCTCTGATCCCTTCCTACGCGTGCCTCAAGGTACCGGTCAGCAACACTACCTGTGCATCAGCAAGCCTGTGTGCCGTCTAAAAACAACGAAATACTCAGGACAAACTGTCCCTTTGTTGATCCTGCCTTCAATCTCTGGAGGAATTCCCAGATCACTAAGGACAAATCATGTCTATTAAGGACATCCCTTCCCAGCCATATAGCCCCCAGAGTGGGACTGTCTATCCCAGTAAAGCAGAGGCATCCCTCTTTGATGCACTGACCCCTCCCTCCCTCAAAATTCAACTCCCCTACACAACCTGTACAACCGCCAGCACTGCAAAGTCAACATAGCTGTACAACAGAGCTCCCCATTCATCTCTGCCTTGTGCATAATCAGTTTGAATTGCCAGCTATTCTGGAAATCCAAAATCTTTATTGCTAGTGGTGATATATGTAGCAGGAAAAACACAGCTTTACTTTTAAAGCACAGCCTCAGCATATAATGCTGGGACTTGTAAGACAGACAGATCCTGATGTAGTTTACAACCTAAGACAAGGTGACCTGGAAAATCAGTAATGAAAAATAAAATATAAAATATCAAGATGGCATTTTTGCAGTCTAAAAGTAGGTGGACACTTGCTCACATTTGGTTGAGAAAAATTTTCTTGTGTACTTTTGCTTTCTGCTAGTTTCAAAGGGTAACAAAAAGCTGCAGAAATTAGTCAATGCTGAGAAAAGAAGAGGTGAGAAAACAAAAACCAAAATCCTGCTAATGATGGTGTAACCAATCTCATTTGAGCACGTGCATATTCCTGCACATTACCCTCCCAAAGGGTAATTTGAGAAGACAGGATGCAGTGGGTTCTGTTTGCATCTACTAATTGCTGCATTTAGCACAGGCAATCACAGTTATTAGAAGACCATGATCTGGCACTGCCAAAAGCAAGGGCAATCAATCACTAGAGGAACAAGACATCTGGACTTCAGAACTTATCAAATTGCATCTTCTGAGAAACAGAACATAAAAGAAACCTGCACAGACACCAGCTACTAGGGATGCTGAAGTTTAAAGACTTGAACTTAGTCCATATTCCTGATTAGGGCTGATTATTCCATTGATCTCCTCATTGATCAACAACCTGCTCATCTCTTTGGTCTCTCATAAAAATGAGGTCTCTTTAAATTTACTCCATTTTCCTTTGATTGATGCTAAGAATTGTGAATTTGTATGAACTTTTCTACAAAGAAACAGAATAAATACATGGTTGGTTTTTTTTTTTTTCCAAAACCAGTAAAACCACAATCACATTTGTTTTCTGAAAAATACTACTTTTGATTCAGACAAGGTGCTTTCCTGTACTCAGTAAAGATGCTTCTCTCTAGCCAATAGTAAAGCAAGAATAAACAATGTAGGTAATTCTCAGTTATCCATCCAGATGGCTTAAAGCAATTACAAGAAAAATAATGAAATAAAGGGATAATAAAACAAATTTTAGAAAAACAAAAATAATTTCCCCACATTTCTGTCTCCATGTTGTTTCTGAATGTTCTTTGAAATGCTGTGATACCCAATTCCCATTTTGTGATATCACAGAAGTTTTACAAGGCCTTATACATCTACAACAATCTTAATGATGACCCAAGATCCTACGTACTCAGCATAAGGTATCTGTTTTGTATTATGGCTGAAGTCACAGGAATAACTTAAGATCCCAGTAGCACTACTACTTCGGCTCCGTATCACTGCCAGGTAACAGAACAAGGTAGGCAGATTTTAACAAAGATCCTGGACCAGGAAAACACTGTATCAATACGTCCTACAGCTCTTGATCCAACCTTCATTTTCCAACATGCTTTGTATCCAGAAAGCTTACTGTGTATTAAGCCCATCTACACGTTTACTAGAACATATTTATTTACATTTGTTTTATGGAACTTACTTCCATATGAATAAAATGTTACGGGTACCCTCATGCAAAGCTGAACCCTGGCTAAATTTTGATGTCCATACGCCATGGACACAGACCATGAAGACCTGTGTTTCAGAGTCCTGGCAGACTGTTCCTGGACGGCAGCCCCAGCCCTGCAGTTAGAGTGAGCTGGAGACCCTCCGAAGAGAACACAGGCTGTGCTGAGGAGCAGGGTGAGCCCCGTCTGCCAACACAGCTCACGCACACAGACTTGAAACTACACACCATGAGCCTTTTTAGCATGCCTCTGAATTTTCAGGCGGTCTTTAAATGTCCTTTTAATATAGTATGTTCCTTTTTTTTCTTTTCAAAGCAAGGAGCTGATGCTGTCTACTAATTACTCAGGTTCCCAAACGCACTTTTCACTGAAGTACACTGGATGATAACAAGACAAGTTCTGCCTTCGTCTCTTCAGTGTTTGGATGGGAACAATTTTCTGAAGAAAAGGGCTAGGAGGGCAGCAGGACATATGTTTATGTGACAGCTGTGTCTTCACAACCTGAAAAGGCAAATGATTTTTTTTTTTTTTCTTTTCTTTCAAAATGACAGCTTGCTGTTTACCGACTACGAACAACAATAAAAGAAGCGGAGCTTTTTCATCCATCTGTTTTCACACCCACAATTTTTTCTTTCCTTTACTATTATTATGACTTTGCATTAGTTGAACAGTGCTTGCCTTGTCTGAAGAACCACCTGCCAGCACCAGTGAGACAGGCTGTCCCCAGATGCACCATTTGGGGCTGCCCTGAAACAGGCGCAGTTTTGTCAGGCAGCTCCAATCAGGGACAGGCAATTTTAACTTTTGCTGGTGCACAGAGAAGTAATAACCAATCTCCCACTGGGCCTCAGTTTCAACTTCAGTTCCCCATGTCCCAGAGCTGTACATTGAGCATGCTTGTCAGCAACCTGCTTCAGACAGGAGAGAAACCCTGGTTCTGTCCACTGAACATCTTCAGGAATTATTTTTTTGGTTCTCAACAAATTTTGTCCAAGTTCAGGGGAGTTCTAGATCGTGTGCTGCTTTTCTATCCCACTGAAGCCAACTTTTTGCTGTCTTTAAAATTAATCATGTGCATATGTCTGTGCAGGGTCAATGTACTCCCCTCTAATTTCTATTGCCAGCTTTCGGAAACTGCTAGTTCTCCAAGAGACTAAGCAAAACCTAGTATTGCCCTTGCAATTATCAGCTATTTTTAGTATCTGTGTCACTCAGAGAAGGGAGGTTTAACAAAGTGGTTAAGGCTTTCGTTAATTACAACAGAAAGATATTTCAATGATGTATAGTTATCATCAAATACCCACACCTCTCAACCATGAGGTAGCCTGGAGGAGGCTTTTATTTACCATCTAGAAAACACTCTGGCCCTAGATGGCCAACCAGATGTGGAAACAAGGGCTTACAAAGAGTGAAGTCCTTCCACAGCTGCTTCATTTCCGCCCCAGCAGCTCCAACATGAGATTAAGAAGGAGTAAAAAATAAGTGAACAAAATTGTACGCTTGGAATCCTACTGAACACAGAGCTCCTCAAAGCTGGTTAGTGGGTCACAGAAGCAATGCAGGCGGCCTTGGTGCCACTTCATTTTTCAGAACATGGCTCATGCTGAATTGAAGTACCTCACTGGTTTTTTTGCAAGTCATCTCCGCAGGGATGAATGCCACCTCTCTGCTGGCAGATCTATCCATACCTCCAAAACATCCCAGAAGAAGAATGTTGTGTACTGTGAGTAACCTCTCAGCACCTAGAAATCCATCCTGAAGTCCCCTGATGATAACGAACTGCCTGATTGTGCATGTAATACAAGTCACTAGAGAGCAAAAAAATCAATAAGAATCTCTGTAGAGTGTATCATTCCCTCAAAATTAATATTCTCATTGATTCCTGTGGTGCTACTTTTCACAATTCTGGCCTGAAAACATCGCTCACCTGTTGGAGCACCAGGCTGCAGGAGCAGCTGGCAGCATCCCCCACACCATCTCCAGCTGCTTTACAAAGCTCCTGCCTCAACTCCCGTTTAGAGGAAAAACGGCCAAGAGTTATTGATTGCAACTGTGCCGTTACAGATTTCATTTCAACTCAATGAGGTGAAATGCAACTGCGGGAAGGATTTTTGGGAATCTCTGGTTTCTGACCTGCTCAAAATTTCAGGCAGGTTTCACGCAACAGCCAAAGAATTCTCCGCATTTGCGCATGTTGCCGGGTGACTAACCAGAGACTGTCACCTACAACAACCCAGATAAGGAACCTGGGGATAATAAAACCTGCAACATTTATCTTTGATTATTAAGTCAGCATAAAGATAAGAGAGGATAAGGAGTGACACAGTGTTGCCACCCTGGCCTCACCTTTCAGAGGGATAAACGCTGAAAGGGCTGGCGTTTTAAAGGGGCTGAGCTCAGGGAGGTTTTTCAGACAAGGAAAACTTCAGGCTCTGTCAGGCAGCCGTCTGTAGCAGGTGGCACCAGGACAACCAGCAAACATCAGTAAACTACCTGGATGGCTGCGACAGCATGCATGGAGCTCCTGCCAGAGGAGAGCAAAGCCAGTTGTCCATTCTTCTTTCTCTGTCACTCCCTGTGCTGACCCCTTCTAACAATTAAATAGTAACTAATGGTGCTTCTCAGCCCCGCATTTACAAAGCCTGGAGCTTCTGTTTCCTTTTTCTCTTTTTTCCTCCTCTTACTTCAAACTCTGGCACATTTCAGCTCAGCATCTGGCTTGCAACAATCCCTAGGAGGAAAATTCATGCAATTTGGAAGTGCTTTGTATAACAAAGCTGACACCCGTTCTATTTCACACATGTTCTATTTAGACCCCTGTCTGGAAGGAAGCAACACCACATCGACCAAACTTCATGCAACTCTCCACAGAAAAGAATCCAGCCAGCGACAGCACTCTCAGTCAAACTCTCAAACAACAAGTACAACATTGCACAAGAGAAGGCAGAAAAGCTCGTGATCTGATTTTCCAGCAATTTGCCACACTTGTTTTGCATCCAGCTGTTAATTATGTTCCTTTCACTGTAACAATCACGGCTAATGGTTGCAGAGCAGACAAGAACACCAAATGAGTACAACCCTCCACGTACGGAGGAGCTAAAACAATGCAGAACTCCTGTAACACTTCCACCTCCTCCTAATCAAGATTTTGACCAAATACAGAATGTTTCTTCAAATTAAGCTCTCCCCAGAGTCCTACATTTCCAAAGGAAGACGTTCTGGTTCACTGCACGAAGGTTTCTCATCGCAGGTTCCAGGTGTGGAAAGAAGTTTCATCATTCCACAACTGTCAGTGATTAATGAAACTACAGAGTATCCTAATTAAAAAATGAGTGGCAGTGTTCTGTTAAGTTTTTCATGTACAAGGGAACATAAGGCTGTATTTTAATCGTGCTAAATTGTAATGGTTTCAGATTTTTTGCAGATGTGCATTATGAAAAATGCCATGCTGCAGCCCTAATTATTAGTAGGCTTTACAAAGTCAAAGCTGCTCAGATTATAGACGTAAGTGAAACCCCAGAACTCTTAAATACAAGTTATACCTGTAAATGATTCTTGGAATGAAGCAAAACATTATTTACAGCTGCAAAAGACTGGATGCAAATCAGACACTAACGTTTGAAATGTGGGGCTTAAGGATTTTATCAAGAAACAAGAAGTATCACAGCTACTCCTCTGAAGACCCATATTCCACTCTTGGACATTTCCTCTATACTTTTTCCCACAGTAGTGCACTTCGAGGACAGGTAAGCATATACTGTACCAATACAAGTTGTTAACAGAAGAGGCAATTGCTTGCTCCAACAGGAACTTGCTTTGTCTGGCAGGATACTTCTCATGCTGTCATAAACTGGGTATTGTTGCATAGACTCTTTTGATTAACTTACACTTAAAAAGTCCTTTACAGACTTGGGTTCCTATTAGAACAGCCCAAGCCAGTCATCCTTTTTTGAGTACTTATCACTTGTATGTAGAGAGTGTGATGCAACCTGCCAGCCACAGAGAGCCAGAAAAAGCAGGAACCACACATTAGCGCTGCCTTAATGCAGAATGCCAAGGGAAGCCTACATTTCCATTCATATAACCCATTTATGGCATATTATAGTGTACTTAAGCAAATAAAGTTTTTTGTTCCCTGGGGATCCATTCACTAGCAATTAACTATCACACAACGGGGAACTAACTAGACACGGAGAGACATACATATATTTCACCATTTCCTTTATAAAGGCAAATCCAAAATTGAATTAATTGAGCAGTGCTGGAAGGAAACTATATCGACTAGAAAGGAAACCAAGGTGAAAGACAGCACAGTACTGAAAGATTTGTGCTCGTCAGCCACACAGCAGAAATTCTGCAGGAGAATGGTGATAAATGAAGGCAGTAAAACACCAAGATATGTTGTGAACGTTCATTGGCATTGCGAGTCTGTACAGTCCTCTGTGACATGCGGCTGCGTTTTGGGTATAAATGACACTCTCCTAAGTGAAGACTATTCACCTTTGATTGATTTTTCTAATTTTGCTCTTTCAGAGGTGATGTCTTAGAGAATTTGTCTACGTTAAAGTTAGATTCATGAAAGCACTTGAAAATGTGCTAATAACAGGCGCGGCTACTCAACTTCTTGATGCCATGTTAATGCTCTAAGCCAGTTGGTGAGGCCAGAGTGTCAAATTGTATCATGTTATGTGGTAATGAAAAACAATTAAGGGAGTCAAAGGGGAGGAAGGTGAATGACTGCTTAGACTGGATCTGGCCTGTACACTGTTAGCTGAACTCACCTGAAACAGGAGAGTTAAAAGAGAAGGTCACAAACTATTCTAGGCTGGAACAGAAGAGGGAAAAGAGGGCTTCCCTTTACCTATGACAGGATCTGTTGGGGCGTTATGTGTATCTCATTTGAGTCTGAGGATGGGGCAGACTATGTTTCCTGTAGGGCGGACTATGTTTCCTGTGCAGTCTTCATTCTAAACGCAGCATCACAGAGTAAGTACACATAAAAACATACCCCAGGGTATTCAAAACGAGTAACACAGACATGCACATACGACTTAAGCTGAAACTCCCAACCATATGTGCTACAGAATGATGTGACCAAATGCAAGATACAAGGTAATCCAACTTGATAGCTTTTGGGTAGTTCTCATCTCATAATGTCTCCTTCAAAATCACAAGTACTATGAACTGGAGACTATCAGGATATTTCAGCTATGTCTTTTAAAAGCACAATAGCCCTTACTCTGACATTCATGCACAAGCAGGGAAAATTCTAGCCAATTCATTTTGTAAATCACATGGCCAACAAGTGCCTTTGCAGAGTCTCCCTCCCCAACAGGTTTGCCATTGGATCTAGGCATCAGAGACTTGAGTAATGGCATGTTTAGTTTTCAACAAATTTCTGTAAGAGGGTCATAAGGAGGAGCTAAACTGGCATCCAATGGAGAGGGAAGGAGAAAGACGAGGAGGATAGACAGAGGTGGTCATATGTACAGATCCAGTTCCATTTTGTCTGCACTTACTCCATTTGCCTTGCTAAGAGCCTGGAAGTATATGCTGTAGCTTTTCAGGGGAGAAAGTGGAGCATTCCAGTAGCCATTGTAGGTTTTGTTGTCACCCACTGTGAATGGCTGTGTGACGGGCAGGTTGATGGGTTTCAGCTCAGCTGCAAAGTAGTGTGGGGAGTCCAGACTTGAAGCGTTCTTGTAGCTCACTGGGACAGAGAAGCATTCAATGATGTCCGCAGCTCTCCGTGCTTTCTGCAGCTTCTCCTCCTTGACAACAAGTTGATAGACACTAGGAAGGAGACAGAAAGGTAAGATTAGAGCCCAAAGAGTCTTAAATGTCAAGAATGTTTCCAACAATAAAAGGAAAAGAGTAAAGCAAAATAAGAAATACAGAGCGAGGGCATCACAGCAAACAGTTGTTGACACACCGGTAACAGTGTCAGTGGTCACTGAAAGTTACTATGTGGGGAAGATGATGATCAATTGCTCTATTGATTTGGTTGAGTTAAGATACACCTTGGTGAAACTCAGAATAGATTTCAACTGTGTCACTCTTTGGGAGTAACTAATCCAGTCTGTAATGAATTTTTAATGTACTGAGTATTAGAAAGCAAATGCTTTCTTCTTCAGCCACCAAGTTGAAACATGAACTGATTGCTTGGCCCACACGGTGACTGCAGTAGAGGAGAGCATTAGCAGGTGGCAACAGTGTCAGATCCCTTTCGAAACTGTTTCAGGGCACAAGAACCAGTTTACATCAAAAAGATTCTCACATCTTCTAAGAACATAACTTTTTGTGGCGCTCCCTCACATCTCTTTTTGGGATCTATCCTGGGATGTAGGGTTCTCTAGCATTAATTCCTGATGGCAAGTCTCCTGCCTTCTGTGACCAAAAGGCTGGCGCATATTCGGAGCAGGTGGCTTTATAGCTCTCCCAATTCACTTTTGTTTCAGGAAACAACAACGACTCTTCATATTCTTTCCAACTCTATGAAACGTTAATCCTTTTCGATTCCTGCTAAGCTTTTGGCCTCCATGATATGTAATAGCAACCTTGTTATTTCTAGCTTACTACTTCAGGCTCAAAGAGGTTGCAAGGCATTCAAATGCACTCAGCTTGCTTTTTTTTCCCTCATGCAGTTAACAAAGCCCTTAAGTTCAATGCTGCTACAGCTGAGGCAGGTTTACTGTCTGCTTAACACCACTCACCCATTTGACAAAGAAAGATACTGCTGCAGTCATTTTACTTTTTGTCAGGATATTCACACATGCTGCCCTCCCCTGTCTGTGTGAGACTGCTCCTTTGTTTAGTTAGACAGGGGAGATCGATTAAAAGATTGGAAACAGCCAGCAGTGTATCCTTCTCCTGGCTTTCACAGGCTCATTGTTGCAGAAAGATTGGTCTGAAAAATTTCCGGCATAGCAATAGCTCATCAATGCTTCTGTGGGAAGTTCTGGCACCTTCAACAAGCAGGAGCGAAACAAAACCTAGCTCCTGCTCTTGAATTGACTGTTACTCCAGGTCTGTGGGTACCTGGCTCCCTGTTAACAATGAGGCGGTCAGTAAATCACTTGGAAATCATTGAGCTCCCACTGCTAGACACAAAACCTGCTAATCTTTACAAGTACAACCAATTTATGAATTACTTGGTACTGAAGTTGTCCTTATGCAGGCTGCTACTAGCATTTGCTAATGCAGCAGGAGCACCCATCAGATAGACGGACTGCAGCCTTTAATGATGTCCCATGAGCATTTCGGAAAACTTTCCTCAACCCTACAGTTCATTGGAGGCTTTAATAAAATATTTTAGATCTTCTCAGGTATTTATTTTATGATTTTTAAAAATATAAATGGGTTTCATAGCAACACCTTAAATATTGTGGATGTAGTGGGAGCTGTAAGCAAAAGCCTGTTTAGCCTAAATGCTCTCCTCAGCTTAGCAATAGAAACTTCTAGCTTACCATTTTGGACACTGTTTACTAACAGACTGTCTGCAGAGTCTTATTCTGATCCTTCTCTCTGGCAATAATAATCTACAGTTGTTTTGTTTGTTAGCCATGTGCAGAATTGTAGCTGACTTTTTATGGGCAATTGCCGCTTGCCTTCTAACCTAAAAATGCTTTGTTTCTATTTTATCCAATTCCAAATACTTGTATTTTGTGGTTATAGAAAGTGTTTTATTTATTTATACACACAAATATATACCTATAAATAAATACTAATCTCCTTTCAGCCCACACAAAGGCCAAGGGTTCCCTCTCTCTATCTCCCATGCCCTACAGTGTCCAAAGGGTGACACTCATTCTCTTGGTTATCCCACTTGCAAGCCAGGATCCTATACACTTGTCTGTCTTTGGAGAAGTGGAAGCTCCCAGGGACATGAACTGCCAGATAACTGAGCAGTTTCCCAAATCATCAGAGAACTTATTTACCTTTGAAGACGTTATCAGTTTCTCCCTTGATGATTCTGACACGAACTCCACCAGCACAGGCACTATTTTTTTTATCATAAGTAAGAATTTTGAGACATATAGCACCTAATAAAAGATACTCTTTTGCCTGTATTCTTCCATATTTTTGTTTTCCTACTTAGCCGTTAACACACTTCTTCCTTTCCCCGGGAAAATTCACTCTTAACGACCTGAAATTTTACTTTTAACGTTTATCCTTTTAGAATAGATCGAGGCATCTCTGGAAGCACAACAGTATGTTCACGAGCATTCAACTGAAATGTAATAGAGGTCCCATTTGTGTGCAAGTTAAAACCCTATTAATTTCCTGCTCAAACACTGCTTCCTTTTCTATGAAACAAGTATCCGAGCTAGTGCTGCTGTCATTGTTCCCTCTGTCTAAAAAACCTACTCTGGTGAAACTTAGGATGAGTGACTGACTGTTTTCTTGGCACTTTTTTCCTTTATGCCCCAGCTCACACCAACTGACACAGCACATTTATCTCTATGTGCTTTACCTGC